TTTTCTTTTTCCTAGGTACAAGGGAGGGATTCTGCAAAATTTATTTTACTCGTGAAGACAAGGGACTTATATCTGATCACCCTCGAAATTGTTGTTGAAAATATAAGCCGGAATAAGTTTGCTTTTTTGGTTAATTTTAAATAATTGACTGAAATCGAAATCAAGTTTTCTGGCGACTTAATCCCTTGCTTGGCGACTTTTTTCTGAAGCTTGGTATTTTTTATAAACTATGCTCATCTCATTTGGCTATTTTACTTCAGTTAAAAAATTCTATAATACTTTGACAGTATTAACAGAACTGTTGGCCCACCAGCGGCCGAGCGGTAAAGTCGCTGAACACTGGTAGTTCGGTCCGAGGTTCGAATCCCGCGAACGGGCTGGCTGCATGGGTGTTTTCGTGGTTTTCCCCATGTGTAACGTGTATACGAGCCAGTTTCCCTTAGAAAGTCCTCCACGAAGGCATCCCTCCCCTTAGGCAGATAGCCCTAGTGTGCTTTGCCATAATTAAATACACCAACAGAACTGTTGATCTCAATAAGCGATGCATTTTTCACGTATTCGTTTACAAACGAGCGGGCTTTCGGCAATTCGATGACGGTATCCAAATCATAACATTAACTGCGATCACATTAAGCGGCGTGTACTGTATTATTAGCATGTTTAAAGCAAAGAAAGATGCACAAAGTAACATGTAAATAGAAGTCTGAGTGGGCCAATTAAAACAAAGGGGGCAGTGAAGAGGCTTCAATCAGTCCGACAGAGATGGTTACTGGTAGCTCGCTCCATTTACTTTATACCCCTGTATTTGACATATAAACCTAACCATAACCTCATTACTAGATCTATTGAAAATGAGTTTTATGCATTTTGGAATTTCTGCAGTTGCTTTTCCTGAAATATTCATCAAGTTTCGTACCTTGATGTAGAAGATGTATTTTACAGGAAAAGAAATCAAAATTTAAGATTTTGTTGAGACACTATCCATAAAACATTTATTGGAAGCAAGAGGCTTAAACTATATATTTTATAGCAAAAGCTTTCTGTTGTTAAAAAAAAAAAGATTAAGGTGTTTTTAGCCCAAAAATGGCATTTTGCGTTGATTCACTATAAACGGCGAATCACTTTTTAAATTGTTGCCACTAAATATTAAAGCACTGTATTATATTAAAAAAAATTAAATAATGAAAAATCCGCATAAATGTGTGTTGTTTCTCGCAGTGTGATAAAACAACGGTACTTAGAGCCATCTAATTTTGAATAACGTACGTCTCCACCCGAATATGGGCATCTGGAAGCCCAAATTCGGAATTTTTATTACCTATTTCATATTTTGTAAGGCATTTACGAGTTTTTGATTTAGAAACTCAACGATTTCAAAGCAAGCAATGGCAACGCTGCATCAAATAAATAAATAAATAAATAAAAATAAAAAAAAAATTAATTTTATCTCCAGCAAGCGAGCTTGTATATCGGAAATTCTAAAGATTTGCTCATTTTAAAATTATTTTGCGATATTGCTATTGAATTTTGAATTGAATTTTGTGGTTTAAATGGGAAGAACATGATATTTAATATATAAAGATAGCATACAAAACGTTATAAAAAAACGCTGCCTTTGGGCGTAATACAGAATCTGAAAGCTTTTTTTTTTTTTTTTTTTTTTTTAAAACAGCTTTTACGTTTTGTATGAATTTAATAAACTTTTGATGAATAAACTTCTATGTGGAAGCGAGCAGTTGCAACACTGTTCCAAACGAAAAATTTTTGTCTCCAGCGCTCCAGACTGCTGCCATTCGACAAAATGTAAGATCTGTCTGTTTAGTCAACAAATTCAAATATTTAAAAGCAATGCGCTGCCATTCCTCGAAATAAAATACTTTCACCTTCGCGCAAGCTTGTTACCATCCAGTAAAGCGTAAGATAAGAAACTTTATAATTTAATATGCCTTTAATTGATTAACAATGTTTCAATATAGCGTTCAATAAAGCAATATAGGCAGTTCTTAAGAAAATGTTTTGTATTTTTAAATCTAATTGGTTTAAATAAAAAATACATGCGAAGCATGCGATATTTAATTATAAATATTTTTATGAAATGACATAGTTAGACTCATTAAATTTTATATATATTTGGCGGCTGGCCGCGCAACGAAAAAAAAAAAAAAAACTTGTTTACATTCGTATTTCTTTTCTTTTTAGGCATTTTTACTAGAGTGGCACAGTTTATATGGTGAGCTCACCTAGAATACCTAATTTTCTAATGCCAGCATCGCCTGAAAAAATATTCCTTATATATCTCAAACTCCATTGTTTAAGAATCAGATATTTCTTAATTATAAGTACCTTTACTGGAACGGGACGGAATATTAATTAATCCGTTAGCTCTTTCCTGCTCATCTCTTGCCATTCTCAGAAGAGGAATACTCAGACAAATAAATAAAGCGACTAAACGCAGATACTTCTAATTCTATGTTCGAATCTTGGGAAAAGGAACTGGCTTTATGGGTCTTTTCATGGCTTTCTTCTTATGTAATGTTAATTGCTCCACAAAGGCAGATAGCCCATAATCAATTACTTATCCATTTACTGTTTCGTAAAGCAACTTGCAATGGGAATATATTGATCAGCTTTATGCCATAGCGTTAGCTAATACTTTTCTTTGCGAAAATGATTATAGTTATTATTATATAGAAATGAGTTATTTATAACAAATATTGGAAAATGCTAACTGAAAGTATGAGATATGTCAACTTTTAAAATTATGTCAGCCAAACGTTACGATTCTCGATATATGGCGTTAAACTTAAAATTCGCACCAAGGAGCATACACTTCAAATGAACAAATCTTCAAAAACTAATCACAGTTGGTTGCTTAACTATAATTTTGATTTTGGTTCTGCGAAAAACTATTCACAAAGCTTTGCTCAGTTGAATGGAATTTCTTGAAGATTTTCACATTAAAAACAGTTGATCTTTTTAACATAATGACATTACTTTATAGTAATCTAGTTCTTCCAGATTTCAAAATTTTCTAATGTCTTAGTTTATCTTAGTTTTCTAATTACTCTTTTCCTCGAAAAATGGCGCTACGTTTGTTTTTATTTTGCTTCTCTCATTTATTTCCATATAAAATGGTTTTAGCTTAAAAAGCTTATGCCAATCTAAAATTGCTTTTCTGCCTCATTTTAAATGAGGCAGAAATCAAGTAAGAGACATTTTTTTTAAAAAAAATTACATATATATAACTAAGAACCATCTATGGCTTACTTAATATACTAACTTTACTTAAAATTTAATGTACAAAATAAAATACGTTTTACTCAAGTATATTTAGTTACATTTAATTTTGAACTATTGATTCGTGAAATATTCATAAATACAACAAGTTTAACTTTTGAACAGACGCATGATTTCTTAGCTACACATTGTAATTCCTCAGGTATTCATCCCTCGCTTATACCCCTCCCTAGCTTTTAAGCGTCAGTCTCTGAAAATTAAATATATATATATATATACAAATGACTTTTTTCCAATTTACTCTTTCTTTTTTGGCCAAAAATAAGTAATTTTAGCTGAATTAGCCATTTTCACTTATTTGAAGCAGTTTTGTTCTTCAAACAACTTGACTGACGCCATTTTGAGTTCTTTCCGTGTCTTTTCACGTCTGTCACACCCTCTCTAAAAAAAAGGGGGACAGGAGTTCCCGCCAAAACTACAATCTCAGCCCATTGGCCTATGCAGATTTGATTGTTTCACCCACCTACGTCACACGACGAGAAAGAAGGTTGGTAGGACACGGAGGGGATTTGCGCCCTTTTCAAATCTTTTTCGCGATGCAAAGGACGGCACCTCCCAGGTCAGTTTTTTCGTTTCTTTTGTCTGTGTTTTTTTGGTCCTAATAAGACCCAACGACGTTTGTTTTCTTGCAAATTTAATTGCATATTAATTTGATTACAGTACCATTCTCTTTATAAAAGTTCTTTCTTCTTTAAGCTATGCAGGACCAGCCCGTACGTTGTTGTATTTTTGACTAATAGCAGACTATTTTATTTTGATTTTAATTTTACATTGCTCGGAGTTGCATTTACATTTTTAACGCTTTAATGTGTTTTTCAGCGGACGCGTCGGGAAAAAGGAACAGAGCATTGAAGCTCCAAAAAAGATTTATTCGGGACTATTCATGTTTTTATAAAAAATTTTTTCGCATCAAACAAGAGCTTCAATGGCCTGTTTCGGCGAAACGCGTAATGGTATTTAGCCTAGTTCGACACTTAGTCATTTTTCCCTTGAAAAGCCTGGTTGAGGGTAGAGTGGGTTAATTTACCATTTTCCGCTTTGTAATTATTGTATTTTTGCAATTTATGTTTTCATTATAGTTTTTGCATTTTATGTTTTGATATTTTTTTCCGTCAATCTATTTTTTATGTGTGTTAACTTTTCACATATCACAACGGTCAGATTAATTTTTTCGTGCATACGCATGTCTTCCAATATTAATTTTAACAGTTTTTTTCGCGTGTTTGCAGTTTTTATCCAGTTTTTCCAGATTAATATTAAAAAAAAATTTCTTATTAGTTCATATTTTAGTAATACAGCTCCTGGTAACTTTTTAGCAAGATCGCTGCAATGTTTCTACCTACTATTATTTCATATCTTTTTGCAGCATTATGCGCAAAAAAATTTTTAAGACCAAATAGGTCTTACGTCTCATTACTTGTTAAGCTTTACAATTTCTGTTTCAATTAGTATTTCCCCCTTCTTCAGTGCGTTTGGGGAACTCATTTGGATTCGCCCACGTAGTGATTTTTTGTCTTACTAACGTAAACAAACCTCCTCAAAAGATCTGTGAAGATCACGTCGAACTTTTCCCTCCTAACTGTTGAATTTTGCGTCATCCTTATACTAGAAACGACCCATTGCAGCTAAGCAAACACAAGCTAACATTCAGTCAACGATTTCACGGCGTCGACTGCACATTCACCTTTTCTGATTATTTATAGATGGTTGGAAGCCCAAGGTTTAGCAGAGATGGAACGAGCGAGATTCAAGTGGAAACAGAAATGAAGATAGATATTGTAAGATAACATTTGTACGCATTCTTATTGGAATGTAGATTTCTTAAAAAAATAATATTGTGATAGTTATCTGTGGTTTATCCATGACTAATTTTCATTATGTTCTTATTGCGTCTTTCGGAAATTAAATTATTCGCATAACTTTCCTCTCTCGATTTTCGGACGATAAAATTATTAAAAAAAGGGGGGATATAGTAATTTTCGGACGGAATAAATTAGTGATAAAAGGGGAATAAAGTAATCACTTTTTGTCAGTTAACTATACTGATAACTGTTGAAGTATAATAATACTTATTTACTGAATAATTTCCTGTAATAATCAACAGTACAATATTTCTTACTTTCTTACTCAAATCAGTCAACACCAAGCCTTACTATGATTCTTTTATGGCAACTTAATTCTCATATTGTTATTTATTTAGTTTTCGATCTCTAAAGGATCAATTATAAAATCAGTCATTATCATTCATTCATTCAATTAAAAACCATGGACTTTTTTTTAATCATCAGGATAGCTGATTAAAAACCACTGAATGAACAAAGAATGCAAAGAATCAATAAAACGCTTTAAAAGTATTATTATAATTAAGGAATGGAATATGCAAGAGACGCGGTAAAATAATATTTACTTGTTAGTGCATTCTAGTGATTGGCCACAATCTGAATTCCCTTTTGAGAGAAGCAGACCTATTTGTAGCACATTTAGATTTGCTATCATATATTTTAAGAACCTACCAAGAAATTGTTTCATAATGCAAGAAAGGGGAAAAGATTCAGAATAAGTTTATGTGCACATCCATCTAGGTGATGTGTAGGAGATTTATTTTGAAGATAATTTCACATTTTAAAGGAACGAATGAGGTAATCTGCACATTAAATAAACATAAGTTGAGCACATAAGTAAAAGTTGAGCTTAAAGCTCTGTTCTATCTTCTCTTCGGTTCATAAAACATATATTCGCTCAAGTCAAGAAATTAAGAGCACGCGAAAGAGAGTTTAAAAGCAAGGTAGCTTAATTGCAGCTTGTGCCTATCGGAATTATTGAACTAATGGAAGTTAACGTCAGTTTGTTATTGGTTAGAAATCTTTTCTGTTTCCCATGTAGGATTTTATGTTAATTAACCAGGCGTATAGAACCGTACATTTTGCCTTTATTTTCACTTTAATCAGTTTCTACCAGAATGCAAATCGGGTAACGTGTTTAAACGTATAGTTTGTTGAGTTCTAAAAAAAAAGCCTTTGGTAGTATTGCTGAGCAATCACTATGTTACTTCTCCCTGCGACTGAACTGCTCAACCGGCCTTAGCTTTTCTAGCCGTAATTGCTTCGTGAAAATGCTGAGGCCGGAAAGAAAGATTATTAAGCGCTTGTAGCTATTATTATTTTTTATTTGATTTTGAGCTCTTGTTCTGAATTTTAGGGAAGCTGCAGATTTGCATTTACTGTTGTAAGTTTCATGTAACCATTAGGTATTAGTAGAAAGGTTGATTTTGAACCATTCTCTGAGTTTGTAGTTTCTGTGCTTTAGAAGAAAGATTGGGCTATAAAGTCGTCTGTTTACGGTTTTAAATGTGAACATTTAAAGTGTGTTGAATTACAAAATTAATGGGTTGTACAGCTTTTAAAGGTATCGTCAGAAACTGTTGTATTAACCAATGCATGATGCACAGGCAAGAAATTATGCAACAATCTTGTTGCAAATAATCCATATGAAATCCATATGAAATGAGGTTTTCGACTGTATTGTGTTGACCAAAATTAAATACCACCACAGACTTGATGTAAATATAACAAGAGAATTCAGATCTCATTTGCAAAGCCTAATATTAAATATATCTGCTATAATAAAAAGTAATACCACTCAATCTTATTAAAATTTAGATTTAAAAGTCCTGTTTGAATGCATTATTTTAAGAACTTTTGGGTTAATTTTGAAACTAATTTTTGAAGTAAATAAATGTTATTTGAAATAACGGTAATTTTTCTTGCAAACAATTTGTTTTCAGAATGTTTCATTAAAACTATACTTTTGAAGGAAACCAGAGGCGTCACGAGAAAAATGAACACTAAAGAGTGTTTCACTTATATCAAAATCTTTTTTCAGTTATATGTTCCATTAAAACCGTACTACTGAAGCAAACAAGGAGATTCATGATAAAAATGGACGTGAAAAAGGTAATGTAAAAAAATATTAAGAAACGCTGATTTAAAGTGTAGAATTCTCAAAATACTTTAGCTAATAGTATTCTTCAGAAATTCATGTGGTCATATCTCAAGTTAACAACAGCACTAAATTGTAAATCAAGTTATTAAAAAAAAATCAAATGTGACTTTCAGTCACATTTTTTTATTTGACGTTGATCAGGAAGCCTAAAATGGTACTATTTTTAAAAAAGCTTCTACTACCAAAGCCGGGAATGAGACATTATCCTTTGTTTCAAACACTTTTTTTTTATGTTCAGATGAAATGATATTTATTTAAAGCGATAACAATTATATACTTATTTCTAAAACGCTCGTAGCCACACCCACCCACACCGTTTCGTTTCCATGATTGTTGTTTTGTAATATCTTGTAAATTTTCTTTTACATGACTTCGTCAGATTTCCTCTAATTTCCGTATATCTGACTGCTGAATATTAAATTTACTTTCACTCTAAAAAAATTACTTGGTGCTAAAATTCATCAGGCTTGTAAATGAATTTTTTGCAAAGTCTAATCTCTGCCCCTTTCTTATCTTTACTTAAGAATGGTTTTCGTCTAGCTACCACAGTAAGATATGCAGACTTTATATCAAATTTTTAATTGTTCTAAAGTGAATTCTGGTAGCTTTCCGAAGTTCTGGTACAATCAAAGAAGAAAAAGGATTTAATTGAATTTTCTATGAAATGAATTGTTCTTCTCTCTTGCTTAGATTCAGTGCTTTCCTAGAACAATACTGTTACGAATTTTGTATATAGATAAATAATTTTAATGAAATTATACGTGAAATTGTTGTATTTTTCTATATAATGTAATATGAAAAGCTGAGAGAAATGATGCTCTGCCGGAAAAATAGGAATACAGAGGCAAGTCTATTTAATATTGAGTAAATGGTTATCTCGCTAATTTGGCGAGATATCACTTTGCACTGCGTTGCAACGCTTTGCACTGCGTTGTGTTGAACATTTTTAGTAATTCTGAAGTGTAGTTACTGTTTGTACTCTGTGTTAATGCGAACACCTGTAAAAGTATTTCTCTGGAAAATTCCAGAACTTTGAAATTTTTCTTTTTCTGAAATAAATTTTATCAGTCTATCATCGGGATCTGTGTGCATTCAGTCAATTACGAACCTGTTACACCAGCAACAATGGTTTCTTTCTACGATTTCAATTTTTTGAAACTTATAAGAAAGGAGTTCTTCTTTTTTTTTTTTTTTTTTTTTTTTTTTTTCTTTTTTTTCTTTTTCTTTTCTTTTTTTTTCAAAAAATAAGTATTAATTTTATGTCATCCTTGTTGCGTTCCCGCTATTCGTTCTTATTTAAGCCATTAGGTGGCGCCGGGCTGATTTACTCTTGAAAAACAGTGTACAATTTTCCAGAAGAGTGTAGAAATTTTAAAGCAGATTTTAGATGCATTGTTTATCAGTTAAACCGATGAAGAAATCATCCAAAATGGATGGTGATGATTTTCCGAAAAAAGGTCATAACCGATAATATCAGCTCTTACCAAAACTGTTAAACGGAGCAATGTTAGTTATCTCTTTAGAATAGTGTAGAACTTTCCAGGACAGTTTAGAATTTTTAGAGCAGAATTTAAGTTTCTCTCAAATACTTCGAAAACTGGATTTCGAAAATGTTACCTCTCCCCCTCTAAATAAAGCCTCATTATTCTGTTTAAATCCGTGGCTATGTCAGAAGAAGTCTTTCACGGAGCTATTCATCCCTTCAGGCTGATAGCCCTCGTGAATTCTGTTAAGTTTCAATAAACAGGTATGGTAAAATTATTATTTTTTCTATTTTTATGTATTTAATATTGTGTTTAACCCTTTTGTTTTAGATTTAATGATTTTCGCACGTTTTGTGTCATAAATTTGTAGTCCAAGCAGGAATTATCTTGTTTTCCCTAGCTTTTTCAACACTAGTTTCTGAAAATTTTAAAACTGTTCTCATAAAATTCATGTTTCCTTGTTGTACATAGTTTTGCCCTTTGAGGACTGGTTTATTGGTAAATTGTACATGCTTGATTATATTTGCTTTTTATTTAGTGTCAATTTACATTTTCATTTTTGTATTAGCATTGCATTCATTTTATTTTCTCTCGCATTTATTATTTGAAGCGTATTCTGTACATATTCTCCTTTAAGCCACCCAGACGTGGCAAGTGTTCTCATTCCTATGAAACAGTTTCCAAACATATGATTTTACCTTACTTCTGTTATTTACGTTCCAGCTCATCTTCTTGATAATATATTCGATCTTTAAAAATCCTGTATTTCGTTCGCTCTCTTCTCTTTCATTCCTGCGATGTACCTCTTGGGAGTTGTAGTCAAGATTCATTCTTTTGAGGTACTCCTAGCTTTACAAGTCATTGAGAAGCAGCGCGATGTGTTCAACTCAATATCCATAAGATACCGCCTCAGTATCCGTCAGATATTGTAATGTTCACATTACTATGTATTCTTATTGGAATTAGGTTTGTTTTAAAGAAATAATATTGTGGTAGGTACTAGCAGTTTACCGATGAATATTTTTCATTTGTTATGTTTTTGGAAATTAAATTACTCGCATAATGTTTCCCTCTCGATTTTTGAAAGACAAAATGAGTTAATAAATGAGTATAATTTTTTTATATTAATTTACAAAAGGAAAATCCCTTCAGCTTATGGACGTCCTTCAGGAAAAAAGTAATATTCGCAGACGTTTAGTTTTAGTATATTCTCTTTACTTAAAAGTTGGGTAATTTATTTTATAACTGATATTTTATACTACAAAATCGTCATCATTGGAAAATGCTATTTAAGAAGTGTGCAATAATTTATGATTATTCTTGCGACATGCACTGTT